GTACTTGTGTGTTTGCATGTTTATTTTTACTTTAAGAGAATACACTGTCCAGTTCTACCCACTGGGTTCACATTGCCACCAACTCTCTAGTTAACATGTGCCCACTCAGCAGGGAACGGTTCTGGTGTGTGTTTTTATAAAACATGGTTCACCTATTTGGGAAATGGTGCTCTGGATCTGACCACTCAAGGAGTGCACACCAGTTGTAATATTGGAACACCTCCTACTTTTTCTTTTCTCTTCTGAGCAGCTTTTCTGCTCACTCTTGTACCTGTTCTTTTTTTTTTAATATATAAATTTATTTATTTATTTTTGGCTGTGTTGGGTCCCCGCCTCTGTGCGAGGGCTCCCCCCAGCTGCGGCGAGCGGGGGCCACCCCCCATCGCAGTGCGCGGGCCCCTCACCATCGTGGCCCCTCCTTCCACGGAGCACAGGCTCCAGACACGCAGGCCCAGCAGCTGCGGCCCACGGGCCCAGCCGCTCTGCGGCATGTGGGACCCCCCCAGACCAGGGCCCGAACCCGCGTCCCCCGCATTGGCAGGCAGACTCTCAACCACTGCGCCACCAGGGAAGCCCTTGTACCTGTTCTTAACCATCACATCACTGTTAGTGCAGGAAGTGACCCTCAGGAAGCACAGGGTAACTACAGTGAACGATTTGTCTGTTGTCAGTGCAGTTGCCCACTGAGGTTTTAGGTTCTCAGATATTTCAGATTTTAAGAGGGATGGGTCCCTTCTTGTGGTTCATAACCTTTTCTCTGTTCTTACACCTCATCAAGTCATTTCATGTGTAGTCTCATATATATAAATGGAGAGAAAAGCATGCCTGTTGGGCTAACAGGTCTTTTGGACACTCTGTCTCTGGTACTGAACATTTCAGAGGGCTCTTGTTTTCTTCAGAGACTTGTCTGGTCTGCCTCTCCCCTTATCGTTTTACTTGGCTCTATTCCCGTCAACGTGTGCAACTTGTTAGGTGCAGAAAATCATCATGGTTTTCAAATTTTAGCTTGTTTTGAAGACATAATGGGCTTTTAGATCTTGATATGCTCAGATTTGTAATATCCCCCATGGGCTGTATAAGACTTGTACTTTGAGTTCTTGTAGAAGACATAAGGTAAATAAGATGATTTTGTTTGGTTCTTAAGAAAATTTTTAAACAAAGGAAAACTTATATACAGTCTGGAAATCCCAGTTCTCAGAACATTTGTAGAAGTCTGCCCAATAGTTACAGCGTTTGAAAAAGTCTGGGAGATGATTAACTTTTACCAGCTGCAAGGTGAAATAAAACATCAAGTTTCTTGGCTAGAATGAGAGTATAGCAGTCAGTGTGGTAACACTAATTCTCATGTTGATTAAAAAACTCTGGCAAATAAAAATTTGAAAGGGGAATTTTACTTGATGAATGCTGTTTGGTCGATACATATCTTTCAAGATATGGACTCTGGGAAGAGAAGGCTGCAGCAGCAAATAGGTCTGTGGAACCACTATTCTTGGTGGTCGATGTGGCATGAAGCCAGTGCTGTGAGTACCTGGGCTGCTTTGTTGCTCTCTGCTGGGGTCTCTGTTAGTGTGCACCTTGGGCAGGATTCATGAGTGGAAAGCCAGGAACTCGGGACTGTTTTCAGGTCATTTAAAAGTAGGCTGTAAAATGTTCTTTTTTTTTTTTTTTTAAATGTTCACAATTTTGTTATGGTGGGCCTCTAACCAAGTAAATCAAGATGTGTCTGTGATTAGGAGGTGGGGGCAATCAGAGATAGCATGCAGTAGGCATTATTATGTCACATTAGAATATTAAGCTCAATAGGTTAAAGAGCCAATGTGACTTTTAAATGGAAAGTATTTGGGGGTCAAGTATTTGGGTCCAAGTATTTGATGTGTATAAACTGAGTTTAAAAATCACTTCTTCCGGGAGCACAGGCGAGTTGCCTTAATGGATAGTGCTTCTTGACTTTAGGCAAATTGCCTTCCCCTCTGAACATCCTCTAGATAAACTGAGGAGGGTGAAGAGGCTGGATATGTGTTAAGGTTGCTTTGGCGTCTTGAGAAGTTTGGTCCTAATTATCTTCAGTGTTTAGAATGCATGACTTTTTCAGTAGCTTAAAGCGAAGCAACCTCAGTTTTATTCTTTCACAAACAGGCTTTTAATCAACATTTAAATGTTGATTAAATATTAAATTTTAACGTTAAATTTGAGTCTGTCTTCTCCTCGTTCAAATCTAACAAATCAAGGTAAAACCCTAAATTTTGAAGGATCCAAAGGATATTCAGTCAGTACGCATTCTCAAAATATGTGTAAAGTGGCTCAGAACAACCATCAGAATGACTGTATTCCACTTCTGAGCCCTGAGGAACATAAGACGGTACGTGAGAACAAAACGCAGCATGAGGGAAGAAGACTTAATGGTATTAGGAGACGTCCAGTACTACCCATGTAGTCACTTTTGGATTTCTGGGGAGCAAGTGAGGTAGCCAAGAGGATTAGGGTCACCTAGGCAGTAGTTAAGCAAGACTGTTTTTGTTGCCAACAGCAAATGAAGTCCATTAGGCTGGAACTATTTGCTTAAGTCAAGAACAACAATGAAAGCAGTGTCAGGGCTGGAGGATGTCAGGGACAATTACACACAGCAAGCAAGTTTCATGGGAACAAGGGTAAAAGAAAGTGGTTCGTCTTTGTTGGGGCTGCAGCGTGAGCCAGGCACCCCCTGACTCTGGACTGTGGCTCTCCCAGGCCTCTGCCGCCCATACTCTTTGCTGCCTTGTTTTGAATCAGTTGTACAGCATCAAAGGTATGATGAGACATTTCGTTTTGTAACTTGTCTCAATCTTCCATCTGAATGGAGCCAATTTTCAGATAAGCAAGGGTGCTAATTATCAGCCCCATCTAAATTTAGAAGAACTTTCAGAGCTTTGCAAAACGCATTCAGATTACAGGCCTCACTAAAGCTGCTCAAACGGGAATTTAACTTCTGATATGGAGACGCAGAAGCCTCAAAGCTTGACGGGCTCACAGGTCCAGCCAGAGAAACGTTATTGTTTCTAGCAGAAATTGCATTGTTCCTAATAGGCGTGTCGTTTACTTTTATGTTCACAGTACCACTTGACATTCAAAAAATCAGATCATTAAAAAGCTGTCTTTGGATGGCTGAGTGGTTTGGATGCCCCCTGCTAATTACAGCAGGAGGGCTACACAGGGGACCCCGGGGAAAGAGACTTTTAAATTGTGAGTGGACACCGACTCTATGCTACATTCTGCTGGGCAAGTGGGTAGATGTCAAGTTGAATATGATACAGCCTTGACCTTAATGTAGCTGGTCTGAGTCTGGAGGAGGAGACTTGGGGGCTGACGTAATCTAGAAGACAGACAGGTGTGTATGGACACTTTTTCCACACGAGCTCAAGCTGCTTCTCCCCTCCCCAGCATGTAAGCACTTTGCAGTTTTGTTAAGTCTCCTGCGACCTGTCAGGCTGTGGGTCTGGGTCAGAGGGGTTAGTTTTTAGCAGATATTTACCAATGTAATTAGTTCAGGGATCCAGCCAGCTCACCTTTCAGCCCCACACTGAGCTCAAGACGTTATTCTGAGCTTCTCTATATTGAATTGCCTTGGTCCCTCCCTGCTGCTTTTATGTAAGCCTCCTGGCATTTGTGGAGCTTGAACGGTCGTGAATGGAGAGCTCAGCTGCTTCAGAGGCAGCCTCTGAAGTGGGCAAAGAGGCTTCAGAATGCCTTCTGATTCCCACTTTTGATTTCCTCCTGTGTGTGGTTGAGCTGAGAACGTTCCCATGGTGGGGTTCACGGTTTTCACGGGGGAGTTTTGAGAGCCAGCCACCTGGCTAATTTCCTTGGGCTGGTTAGGAACGAAGACCCATCCATGGCCTCTAAAAATGGACCATTAAAGATTTGCTCATGGTACGTAACTATTGCTTTAGAGATGGTCTAACTTAAAGGTTTCCCCAGGCCCCTTCTATTTTATATCGTGGCAGAGAAAGGTAGCATTACTGTTTGTTGGCCCTGGACTCCCCGACTTAGTTCTTCAACATCTTTCAGAAATGGAGGTTATCTGGGCTTTGAGAAAGAAAGTTTTTGCACGGCCCATTCAGCATTGTTCAAGGCAGTAACACACCACTGAACAAATTGCCCCCTTGCGTATGCTAATCCCGCACTTAAAAGAACTCATTGTAACATGTTCTGATGCTTTAGCCCCGAGGGGAGATGGGAATTGAAGGGATGTCACATCGTGTCATGTGACCCTCAAATATCTAAAATGCCTGTTTTCTTTGGGTCAACAGTTCATACTCAGCACATGTGAATGAAAGTATCCTGTGTGGTTTGTGGAAAAGATTAGTCCTTGTTCCCGCTTTTGTGTGTGGGAGCTGGCCTTGCTGTTGAAGATTCACTGGCTGGAATTCCTGCTTTGGGTCTTAAATTTCAGTGCTCTTGGCAAGGAACACCAAATCTTATTTTCAACAATAAATTAGAAGAACTCAAAAGAGTTCCTTCATTGTGACTGTGGAAAATGTGATTTGCCTTTTAGGAAACCATGCTGTTAATCCCACCCGTTCTCTTTGTGTCTTTTTAGAGAGGCACACATTGACTCTTACAGTCACAGAATATGTCTAATAGAGTGATCTCAGGTTTTGCTCATAGGCCATTCTTATTCCTGACCAGGGAGTCTCAGTGGGAAAGAATGAAAACACATCCGCATATAAACAGCAGGCTCCCATTTCTCTAACAGCAAACAGAACAGAAGAACATTTCAAGTGAGCAGGGCCTGAAGGATCCACCAGGCTTTGGATGGCTTGAGTGCATAGTCAGGGTCTCCCTTTTAAGTGCCTAAATCTCTATAAATGTTTGCCGTCAAAGTCTTCAGATGAGACGAATTAAATGGAATGAAAGGCCATGTAGGCATCACCTTTCTAAACCAGCTATCACATCCAGGTGGGGTTTTCATGTGTACAGGGAGACCTGGGAAGAAATCTTTGATTAATTTTTTTGTCTTGCAGAGTAACTCCCTCTTGGTCCCAGACAGTCTAAGAGGCACAGATAAACGCAGAAATGGACCCGAGTTTTCCAATGACATCAAAAAAAGAAAGGTGGACGATAAGGACTCCAGCCACTATGTAAGTAAATAAAGGACTTGAAATAATACTGGTTTGCTTCCTTGCTCAGCTTCTAAGTGAGTATACAAAGGACCTCTAAGATCTTAGTGACAATTTCACATCCCTTAAAATAATAGTATCGGGCTCCCCTGGTGGTGCGGTGGTTGAGAGTCCGCCTGCCGATGCAGGGGACACAGGTTCATGCCCCGGTCTGGGAAGATCCCACATTCTGCAGAGCAGCTGGGCCCGTGAGCCATGGCCGCTGAGCCTGCACGTCCGGAGCCTGTGTTCCACAATGGGAGAGGCCACAACAGTGAGAGGCCCGCATACCGCAAAAAAAAAAAATAGTATCAAGAGGATAGATTCTTACATTGTAGGATATTATTTCCATCTTGAGCTGTAAATTATGCATCTGCCAGGCTTAGTATTAAATTTTAGGCTTTCTGCCGTAGTTACTCATGAGAGGGAATACAAAATTGTAGGGCTGGCTTCGTGGTGTGCAGCCTGGGCAGCTGCACTGACCCTGGTCTTGCTGGGGCCCTGCCTCACCATTGGTTTCATGCTGTGCTCTCCACCTTCTTCAAATTCTCAATTTTGAGGCTAGGGCCTGCATTTTCATTTTGTCCTAGACCTTGCAAATTCGGTAGCCTGTCCTGCTAAAATGACAAGGGCAAGAATTCGGTGTCACCAGCTTACCTTTTTGAATGCCATTCTGGTAATATATTCAGGCTTTTATCACGTCTTAAGGCAGAGTTCGTCCTTTTCCACAGGGAGCAGTGTAGTGATAAAAGTCCATGGTAAAAAAAAACCTGGAAGAAACACTGGGGGTATCTCGTTCAAACCCTACAGATGAGGTCACACGACTGGATGTGAGGACTCTTGACTTAGATGTAGCTAAAACCACATTCATGAGGAGAGCAAACCACGCCAAATGGCCATTGGTGCTGGTCTCGGCGTCATAAACATTGCAGCTGACAGATGCCTTGTAGTTTCCTTGTGTGTCCCCGAGTGTCTGTTTCAGGATGCACACATTCTCAGGAACAGTGGGAGTAGAATTCAAATTAGGCCACTCCCCACTGCCCCTGGAGGAAGAAGTGTCTACCTCTGGCTGGCTGCTGTGCAGGCTGTGCGGAGGTTTCCACGCGAGACCTCTGTCTTCTGCTAGCTGGCGCAAGCCAATGGCTAACTGTGGGTAACATTTCTTGGGCAACATCTCAAGTTAGCGTCAGGTACTGCGTGCTTCTACGTGGCTTGTTTCATTTAACTCTGAAAACAACCCTGTGAGTTTTGTATCATCCCTCCATTTCATTGATAAGGGAAGTGAAGCACAGAGCTTTTAAGTGATTTGCCCAAGGTCAGAATTAGCAGCACAGCCTGGAGACAGTCTGACTCCAGGATCCATGCTCTTCATCACCATGTTAGGATTCCCAAAGCGAGAGCCTAGGATTGGATATTTTGCCAGAGGTCCTCAAATTGGTCCATACTTTGTACCATAATAACATCCCAAGAACCCAAGTTGTTGATCTCCCCACCACAGCCCAAGCCTTTTTAGCACATATTTACCCCTTATCTTTTGCCCAGAGCCAGTATCCCACACAAGTACGTTTATATATGGCATCAACTGTTAATAAGCTAGTCAAGAAAGTCCACGACATACAGAAATTTGCAAATTTGCCAATGATGGAATTCCGAGTTGCTCTGTAGATAAGTTATTTAGTAGTGAGGGATCTAGAATCCATAGCTCTGCATGACTTTTTTGTAACCTGTTTGTACCAGGTATGTCTAGTTGTGTAGGTAGTTGAGGGTGATGTATTGAGATGATGTTGGAGAACCTGGGGCAAAGAACTCAGACCTTAGATGTTTGATGACAGGTGTATACTGTACCGTGAAGGTATATATTTGCAGAAGGGTCCAGTACAAAGCTAAGATTTAAATTTCAGACTACTTAAGGACTCACTGCACAGTTCCATTATAATAAATTAGTTATTTGCTACCTTTTGCCAGTTTGGTCTGTACATTACATTAACTGTTTTTATACTGGGGGTTTTTTTTTTCCTAAAGGGAATCCCCTTTGGCTTATACTTAGTCACCACCACTCTGGGTTTCTTTCTTTTTTTTTTTTTTAATCAGTGGGTTTTTTGGTTTGTTTTTGTTTTGTTTTGTTTTTTGGCTACACCATGTGGCATGTGGGATCTTAGTTCCCCAACCAGGGATCAAATCCATGCCCCCTGCAGTGGAAGTGCGGAGTCCTAACCACCGGACCACCAGGGAATTCCCGCACCCTGGGTTTCTTAACACCCGACAATGTTTGTGCTTTTCTGTGGGCTTTACTAAGAGAAAGTAAATTTTCTTTAGTATTAATTTTTTCTTTTATTGCATGAAAATATTTCTTTCAATAGCCTGTTATTTTTAATTATCCAGGCTTCCTCATTGGTTGTAATCTTTTGTTATTGCTAATGAGTTGCATGGTGCCTTTATAACGATGACTAAAGGTATATCTAGTAACACATTACTGAAGAAAGTAAATTGGGTCTCCCACACTTACTGCTTTAGGTATGGCTAGATAAAACATTTAAGACATGAATTTAGAGTTGAGGGTACCTTTCTAGCTGGACTTGGGGGCCACAAAAAGCTAATGGGTGACACCTGCACTTGTACTAATATGTCTCAAACATTATTTGTGTATTCTTATTTGACAGTGACATCAGTAAAAGAATTGTGTAGATCATAAGCCAGGGGCCTGCTCCTTTTTGAGAATAGGACCCATTGCGATAACTTATTTTTCCGTATGTCCATTGTATTACTCTGTACTAAAAGACATATAAGGCCTTTTGGCTAAGAAAGTAGACTTCTTCAGCCTGCCCTGAATTTGATTTAGGAGTGATCACGTTAAATTGAACAGCTTTTCTGAAGCTTTTTGAAACTCAGTGCGTGCAACCTTGGAGTTTCCTCTGATTAGCCAATTTTATGGCTTCATGTCAAGACATTAAAAGCCCTAATGTAGGATGCCAGGGCCCTCCAGATACTGCCATCCTATCTTCCTTCCATCTCAAGAATATTCCAAGCTGATTGCTGAAGAGCTTTATTCTTATCATGAGGTTAGATCTTGGTACATTATCCCAACCAGTAGCCAGCTTTGTTGTTTGTAGTTTTTTGTTTCCTTTATTTAATTTTTTGTAGTAACTAGTAACCCCATGGGAACAGGGTTCAAGTTTCTCTTTATAATTATGAATTGTCCATGAACACGAGAATTGATTGGCAGCCTTCAAGGTGATACACAAAAAAAGCAATGACGTGAAATTGTGTTCTTTTTTGTTTGTTTGTTTGTTTTTTGCGGTACGCGGGCCTCTCACTGTTGTGGCCTCCCCCGTTGCGGAGCACAGGCTCCAGACGCGCAGGCCCAGCGGCCATGGCTCACGGGCCCAGCTGCTCCGCGGCATGTGGGATCTTCCTGGACTGGGGCACGAACCCGTGTCCCCTGCATCGGCAGGCGGACTCTCAACCACTGCGCCACCAGGGAAGCCCGAAATTGTGTTCTTAATTTGAAATCCAGTGGGGAAAGATCTCTGAGATAAGGATATGCAGATTTCAGATTATAAGAGAGATTCAGCTGCTGCAAACATTTATTGAACCCTTACTGTGCGCCAGGTTTTACGGCTTGCCATCACCTGTTGTATACACATTGTGATTGTTTAGCTGGTGTGCTGCTGCAGCAGAGTTTCCTGCCTGGGTCTTTGCACATCCCCAGGTCAGATGCGAAGAGGAGACGGTGGTATTAATTACCAGGACTGGCATTCTGGAAGGGAGCCCAGGTCATTTGCTAGTCTGTCTGCTACCAAGAGCTACAGAAATTTAATTGAGCCTCAAACCCTTTAGTAAATGGCATTAAAATTTCTTTTTTTTCAGGAAAGCGATGGTGACAAAAGTGATGACAACTTAGTTGTGGATGTGTCTAATGAGGTAACCATTCTCTTTATCAAACTTTATTTTCAGAGTGACTTGTGAGAGAAAGGAAGTGGAACCACCATATTTTGGTCTTTTGCAACTTTACACATTAAGGATTTAATGGTTGTTCATGGATGGAACAATAAGTGTCTAAAACCGACACAAACTTTTGTTTCCTTTAAAAAAAAAAATCTGTTTCCCTAACCATTTTGGATTACTAAGTTGGTGTCTGGTGCTCCTTTCGGTCCCGTGCCCTCTGGGCAAAGTATTTGAGCATGAGGGAAGATACGATTATTTCTAGATTTGTTTCTTTATGGTGTCTTCATGGGTGCACTCGCAAACACCATCCTATTCATTGTAATAGCAGTATTAGGTGCACACCCTCAAATCCCCCAAATCTGAAGGACTTTCAGGGCTCTCCTTTAATTTGGCGAATTGGTGTGGAAAGATCCGTCCATTCTAAGTGAAATCACGAGCCTTTTGCTTGTGCTTGTTGAGGACCCCTCGTCTCCACGAGCAAGCCCCGCCCACTCACCCAGGGAAAATGGGATCGACAAAAACCGTCTGCTAAAGAAAGACGCCTCCAGCAGCCCGGCATCCACCGCCTCCTCGGGAAGTTCCACTTCTTTGAAATCCAAAGAAATGAGCTTGGTAGGTCATAAGAACTGTCACTTGCCTATTTAGCAGTTTAGTTTTATCAGGGAACCAGAGGTTCCCTAAAGTATTTGAAATGTGGGGTTTTTACTAATTAAGAGTTACATTTTTAAGGGTTTAAAAGTGAAGCTCATCGTTCTGCTTTCTGTCCCCATGGTGATTACTTTTGCCCTCTGGGTCGTCTATTTTGGGCCATGATTAGAGAGAGATAACAAGCTTCCATGCCCATTTCCTTCTTACTTGGGGGATATGTTCCTGGCATAGGCTCAACTTCCTAGTTGGCAAATGGTTCAAATGCCTTAGGTCCTAAGGAGTCCTCATTTTCTTAAGCGGTACACTTCCCCTGGTTTTAGACTGACCCATCCTGTTGGGTCATGTTGTGATTGGGTTGCTGGGCAGATGGTGATGTACTCAAGGCGGCACCAGGGGAAGCCTGGAACTCGGGGGGGCGGGATGTGGGTACATCAGGCCAATTCATGCTTTCAGTCATTCAACAAACATCGTGGAGTATCTCATCTCGTCACTCACCATAATTGCACCATAACAACTCTGCAGTTAATCCCTACATAGTCCCTCAAAGCATTATCCCATTTCACTGATGGGGAGGGAAGCTGGAGGAATTTGCCAAGTTTGCACAGCTCGTCAGATCCAAGGCCAGAGGGAGCTGGGGTCTCTCTAACCCATGTTCTTTGCTACCCCAGAGTGCTTCTCAGACTATGATTAAAGGGACATGAAGGGTTAAGATGCAGAAGAAGATGCCCTGTGACCCTGTTACTATCTTGACTCCTGAAGGCCACTGCACTAGTGGGTCCACTCTGGTTACGTTGGCAAATGGGTGCAGCTGCTGAATGCCAAAGAGTTATTTTTTTAGGCACATCTCTCAACATGATAGGACTAGGTCTAGGGCTTTTGCCCCTGAGATGCCAGTTTGCTTCTCATCAAATTGATGGCTCCGCTGCCTCTCGCTGTTAGTCTCAATCCCACTGCCATTAAGCAGCAAAGGTAGAAAGGGGGTCCTCCCTCTGATATCCTCGATGACCGGGGCAGTCGCTTCTGAGTGACCGGGAACTTTCCTCTGGGTGGTCATCCTTCAAACTTGGCCTAGATCCAAAGTCCACCAGCCTGATGAAAAAATACTTTTTAAAATAAAATCTGCGGAGGAAGGAGTGTGATCATGTTCTGTGTCTCTAGCTAGAGTTTTAATTCTGGCAGGAAGAGGAAAGGTCAACATTTCTCCCTCACAAGTTAATGCTGTCAACATTGTGTGGATTTATGAAAATTGGCTGCGGGAGTAGCTAGAAGGTGCCCAGTGTCCCAGCTGCTGTTGTGATAAATTGTGTAATATGGCTTGGATTAAAAATAATACTCATTTAATTTGTTTAATGATACCAGCATGAAAAAGCCAGCACGCCTGTTCTGAAATCCAGCACACCGACACCTCGGAGTGACATGCCAACGCCGGGCACCAGCGCCACTCCAGGACTACGTCCAGGCCTCGGCAAGCCTCCAGCCATGGACCCCCTCGTTAACCAAGCGGGTAGGGCATTGCCTCTTGTGGGCTGTGTTTTGTTCTTCCCTTTCCCAACTTGATTCGTCAGTTCAGCTCTCATGCAGTTTCCTCGTGAATATGAGATGCACTTTCTGCCCCCCTCCCTCCTTCCTATCTCTGAAAAGCCATGATAAGAAACAGATGTTTGTCCTTGGGTTTCAGCAGCTGCACCCTGTTCAGTCTCTGACTGTTTACATTTGGCTTTTCTTTTATTTCCAAATAATCCAAATCCCAGGGACTTCAATAAAGTTTCTGATAATTATTCCGCATGTAAGCTTCTTACCAAACTATCATTGTGTGTCTGAGTTTGCTAATATTGACTGAAACAGCCTGTCTGACCGGCCCAAGTGTGCTTCTTGCTTGCTTTAGTTGGCCAGTGTTCTGCCGGTATATCCCTTAGGAATCACGGTCTCTCCTTCAGGAGAAATTGGGAGGGTTTCACTGGGACCCCAGCCCCTGAATAAACTCATAACTTTTAACTTTATCTTCCTCCCTGGCAAAGGAAAAATGTAACACTCTGGGCCCAGAGGAAGAGAGGCCCCAGCATATTCCCCCTAAACCTGTGCTCTGGTTTACATAAATCCAGGATCAGGTTTTCATTTGGAATTGGTAGCAGGTAATGGAAAATTTGGGCTGAAGGAGAAATCTTGGATTTTATCAAGAGAACCTTCTTTTGAGTTTAAGTCAACAGGTAGTGCCTGTGCCTTGGTTAGCCTTCTGTGAATTGGGTACAATGATGCTGCTTAATCTCCCTGGTGCGCAGTGTTGCCCAGTGTACCGACCAAGGAGGAAATATGTGGGCAGTTCTTCCCCTGGGGCCCATTCTTTCCTCGAGATGAATTCAGCTCCAGGGAAGAAGGAACCCTGTGTAGGATTTAGAGTTGGTACCCCTCTGCTCCCCCCAGCCTTCTCTCCTCCTTCCCTATAATGAAGGGCACTGAAGAGGACCCTGGAACTGATGGTCAGGCTGGACCTGAGCGGCCAGGTGAGTCACGTGCAGCTTGTGCTTCCTTGCAGCGGCCGGCCTGAGGACGCCCCTGGCGGTGCCGGGTCCGTACCCTGCGCCTTTCGGGATGGTGCCCCACGCGGGCATGAACGGCGAGCTGACCAGTCCCAGCGCCGCCTACGCCAGCCTCCACAACATGTCGCCGCAGATGAGCGCGGCCGCCGCCGCGGCCGCCGTGGTGGCCTACGGGCGCTCCCCGATGGTAGGGATGGCGGGGATGGCAGGCAGGCAGCCGTGGGTGGGCGCAGGCGGGTGGGCGGGACCCAAGGAGCGGCCAGCGGCCTGCAGTCCCCGCGCCTGCAGACAAAGACCCAGTGTCCTCGCTGCGCCCGCCTCCCTCTTGTCCGCCTTCATCGGCATGCCGCTTCATTAAGTGAAGGCCAAATGCTTTTTGTTTTACTGTTTTTGTGGATGAAAAAAGGCAGTGTTTAGGAGCTACTTCAGCGGTTCAGGGGACATCTGGTTTTCTCCCACCAAAGTAGATTTTTTTTTTTTTTTGGAAGGCGATGAAATGACTCAAGTAGCTCACAGAAGCCTTTTCATTCGTTTCTTGAAGTTGTTTGTTTTTTTTTTTTTTCCTCTTTAATTCTTAGAAAAAAATATTTGAGGAGCCGTAATTTTCTCATTCCATGCTTATATTATTCTTTAAACCCAATAGCGTGACTTAGGTGTAAGAAGTGATCTCAGCTCAACAGGGAGAAACACAAAGGGACTGAAACCGTGGGGCAGGTTCTCCTTGTCCTACCTTCTCCCACTGTGTAAATGGCCTCATGTTTGACCAGGAAGAGACAGAACTGCATGTGAAGGGGAAAATTGACTGTGTAGTCCTTAACTGCATCAGGAAAAGGGACTAGATTGTAACTCATAGCAGATGAAAGTCCCTAAATCATTTCTGTTGGCTGTTTGAAATATGTCACGTGCATTTCTCTCCTTTCCCTTCTTCTTTACCTCCAATAACTTGGGGTGATAGTAAAGTTCATTGTTTTTTCCCTTATGTTGTACTACTAGGAAAGGCTGTGCAGTGGAGGGCGAGATAATTTAAAGCAAAGGGGACAGCTGAGGGACTAGGTACCTTCGTTAAGGTGCACAAAATAGAGCGTCCATGCGTGAATTTCTAAGCAATGACTTAGACCAGTGGTATGAAACGGGGTGATTTTGCCCCCTAGGGACATTTGGTCATATCTGGAGACACTTTTGTTTATTAGAACTGGGGGATGCTGTTGGCACTGAGAGGGTAGAGGCCACGGATGCTGCTAATTATCCTGCCATTCCCAGGCCGGCCCCCAACCGAGAACTATCTGACCTAAAACGTCGATAGTGCCGCAGTTGATAGGTTGTCCTGACTCGGCGTATTGCTCTTTGTACTTGTTTGGACAGGTAGGACATCCTAAGTCCACAGGGCGTATTGACCATGGGAAGCTGGTTCTCAATGCACGGATCAACCACACACCTTCCTACTTACCACAAAAGAGTGTCTTGTGGTATTTAAAGGCGGCTGTATTATTTTTTTGCATTATGCTCGTTCTTTTGAGAAATGCTAGCGCACGTCCCTGTTTCTGTTTCTGTTGCTTTGGGGATTTCTGAGTTTCTAGTGAAAAGTCTTTAGAGGTGTCACAAAGTGCCTACCCTGCATAAACTGAGTGTGCGATGCCTTATTCTGTTTCCAGGTTGGGTTTGATCCTCCCCCTCACATGCGTGTACCTACGATCCCTCCAAACCTGGCAGGAATCCCCGGGGGGAAGCCGTAAGTACCTCTAACTCTTCGGTTTTACTGTAAAGGCGGTTACTTAGTCATGGGTATCAGCAGACTCGAATTCCAAAGGGAGCACAGGCTTGGGCGTTTCCAAGGAGATTTCTAGTGTCTTTTCCTGAGGAGTGTTAACACTTGCTATAAATAGGCACCTGGTAGGTGTCACGCCTCTGTCTTCTCACTGTGGATGATGTCATGCATTTAGTTATTTCTGGAGAGAAGCTGTTGGGGACGGGGGCGAGGAGGGAGGCGAGAGCCAGGGGCGGTTGGTCCTCCTTGCTTGACCCTTCCTCAGAAAGCTGCTCTGCTTTGCCATTTGGTTAGGGGGTAGCTGCTGGAGATTTTCCACAGGACTGTGTTGTGGGCAACAAGCTGTCACAAACTTGAAATCTCAGAAATGGGAAACGTGCTGTTTCTTTACCCGGCTCAGTGCCACCTTTTCCTTATTTTGGTCGAAACGGGAGTTCCGTGAAAGGTACATTCTGTTGGATGCCAACATCGGGGGTTGACCACCCCCCCTCCCCAGGAACCCCAAGTAAAGTTTTGCTGGGTGCCTTCCTCTGAGAGATTATAAAGTGCAACGTGGCTTTGGTGAGGAAGCAGGAGAGGTAGGTTAAAGGGCAAGAGAGCCTTCAGAATTTAAAAAGCCCCGTTGGTTATTCTTCCAGGGTCACTTAAAATCGCCTGTTTTCCATAATATTGGAATCAGAAACGTGATTTCAAAGAATTCCTAAAGTTCTCAATTTTTGTACAAAACAAACCTGAGGGCTTCCCTGGTGGCGCAGTGGTTGAGAGTCCGCCTGCCGATGCAGGGGACACGGGTTCGTGCCCCGGTCCGGGAGGATCCCGTGAGCCATGGCCGCTGAGCCTTCACGTCCAGAGCCTGCGCGTCCAGAGCCTGTGCTCCGCAATGGGAGAGGCCACAGCAGTGAGAGGCCCGTGTACCGCAAAAAAAAAACAACAAAAAAACCCCAAAGTAAAACAAACCTGAAATGTGAGAGTCTGTCTTACTTTTCAGCAAATACTCTCTTCCCCTAGGATAGAAGATGGCAGAAAACCAGTTCCAACTCATTGATTTTTCCAAATAGAGGTACATGTCACAGGCCTTCAGGTTTTTTTTTTTTGGTTATACCTTCTACCTCCGAGTGGTTTCTTTCAGCTATTACTCATGCATCTGTTGCATATTGCATTATTTTGAGTGGTCCGTTCAACTACCTGGTCATCCTTCTGTGGTTTTTATTGCAGCCTTGCATCAGACAAACCAATAGCATGAGGAAAGATGGAATTCCTTACCCCGTCATCTGCTTTTAGAAAGCAGATTCCCATTGCTCCTCTTTCCCTGCGTTATAGTATCTGTTTCACGGTAATTTGACTCATGATGAAATGAAGCTTTGGTTTATACTAGGAGCTAGTAGCAATGTTAGGAATTTGTGGTGACATCTAGGCCCAGGGAAGAGCAGGACTGGGAGGTGGGGCGGCATCGCATATCCTTTCTTAGCTGGTAGATCTTTTCTGATTGAATACTTGTGAACTACTATGTTGTGTTTCCTTGGGAATGCCCCCCCTGTGTCCAGCCTGGAATGCCACAGGGCACTTATGGGTATTTCTTACCTGTGGTTTTGCTGGCAGTGTAGCTAGCTGTTGTGTGTCCCACTGTCTGGTGAGTGGATAAAGGGCAAATTGGGACTTCCCTAGCAGTCCAGTGTTAAGATTCCACGCTTCAATGCAGGGGGCACAGTTTCGATCCCTGGTCAGAGAATTAAGATCCCAAATGCCGCAAGTTGTGGCCAAAAAATAAAGAAGAAAACGAGCAAACAGTTAATGTTGAGCCAAGATGCAGTAATTAACAGTAACTGATGAATCTTCAGGGAAATAATAGGTAGCTAAGGCCAAGTTCAGCGAACCATTAGGGAAAGCCAGTTTCAGGAGTCAGAGCTGTGGGGAGTTTCCAGCTGCCAAGCCCCCCCGCCCTGCCCCGAATGTGAAATATGAGGCAGAGGGCATGGGGTGAGCAGAGCTGAGAGCCACAGAGCTGGTCCTCAGGGCTGGTGTCGGGGGGGAGGGTTAACTTAGACCCAGTTCCTAACGACTGTGTGTGCCGTTAGACACAGTTTACACCTTCAGTGGATGACAGTACTGGTGTCACGCTTCCTGGAGCCAAAATAGTCATGTCTTTGACTTGTGAGAACCTTGGCTTTCTTTGTGTTCACAGCTGCGTAGGCTAGGACCACGACAGTGGGCAGAGAGGCAAAGTGGTGAGACTCAGGTATGACGGTGCTTTTCTCCCCTTGGTCAAAACGGGCACTGGGCTGTGGATCTGAGGGGTCGCTGCTTTCTAAAACAGTTAAAACATTTTTTTGGATTCTCTTTCAAGTTTAAGGTGAGCCATATCATGGGAGGAAGATTGAGTAAATTGGTATCAGAGGGAAAAATGAACTTGCCCATGGTCTGGGACCTGGGCTGCGTACACAGTCTTAGTCCCCATATTAATCCATTAATTAGTATGAGAGGACGTACTGTTCTCATCATTCAGTAAAGTAATACCGCCTGAGGTGGTCTTCTCAAACTGGCTATGATGGTAGCAGACCAGTTTTTTCCCAACATGACAAAGATTGAGACTCTTATAACAGACAAATACAGATGGATAGGGGGAAAAAAATACAGAATACAAGTCCCAGTTTTTTATTACAAGAGCCAGCAGTTGTGAACTGACTCTGAGTTGCCGTGTAAAAGTTTCTCAACACTTAGTCTTGAGGAGTAAGCACCTCGCCGGGGGCAACGGTGAATGTCAGCTGACCACACTGGGCAGCGTCTGTGCGAGGCTTATAAGAGGAATGGTGACAAACCGTCATGTCCAGGGTAGAGTGAACAAGGTGGTAAAGGGTTTGTGAGAGTCATTCTCTGAGAAACACCAGTCGAAGTAATATTTGGGAAGGACAGATGGAGGCTCTTCGTGGATGTTTGATGGAGAACTGTGTGTTAGGCGCCTGCCGTGCTCCAGGAAAGAAAACGGTCGTCTTTCCGGCTTTGGGGGGAGCCTACTGATGTGGGGGGAATGTTAAAGGAACAGTAGATGCTTGAGTTAAGTTTGCGACAAATGCTGAGTGCTGTGAAGGCAGAGTGGTGGGTGATAGGCAGACAGGTAGAGAGTGACCAGAGTTAGGAAGGGAAGGCCTTCCTTGGGGCAGGGTGGATATGCAGGAAGCTGAAGCTGGTGCAGGAGGGATAAGGCCACCCGGCAGAGGGGGCTGGGAGGGTGGGCTGGTGCCAGTAGAGGGACAGTGGGCTCCCAGCACAGAGAGGGAGCTTGAGGGTTCACGGGCAGCTGCATGAGTGCCCTCGAAGAGTGGTACAGCCGGGAGAGTGCAGGTGGGACTGGAGGGACCTTAAAAGTGCGTCTTGGGCTTCCCTGGTGGCGCAGTGGTTGAGAGTCCGCCTGCCGATGCAGGGCACGGGTTTGTGCCCCGGTCCGGGAAGATCCCACGTGCAGCGGAGCGGCTGGGCCTGTGAGCCATGGCCGCTGAGCCTGCGCGTCCGGAGCCTGTGCTCCGCAACGGGAGAGGCCACAACAGTGAGAGGCCCGCGTACCGCAAAAAAAAAAAAAAAAAAAAAAGTGCATCTAGCGTGAATGCCCATCTGTGGTTCTAGTGGCCTCACCGAGTGGCTGCGCATCTCTGACCCAGCGTCTCTAGTGATGGCGACTCATTTTCCCTGGCTGTGTGAAAACTCTTCCAGCCCTTGAGTTGACATCTGTCTCCCTGGAACTTTTACCCATCTGTCCTGTTCTTTCCCACTCCCCGAGACCACACAGTGTGCTGCTACTCCATCCTCCTCAGGGCAGGCAGCTCTGCAGATATTTGGAGACCACCGTTTCTCCATGAAGGGTCTCTTCTGTCTGAGTATGTCCATTGCTTCAGCCCTGTGTTATGGGATGTGATTTCAGGTTCCCACACCATCTGCCTACTACAGTCTGGTCAGTCACCTCCCTCCTGTCCTCTCTTCTACAGATTTCATCAAAAGCTGCTGACTAGGCATAGAGGACCCTATTGGGAGCTCACAGCCTAGTGATGGAGCGGTGGCATTAATCAAGGAATCACAAAAGTAAATGTGTAATTATAATTGAGATAAGAGCTGTGACAGAGGAGTACTGTTTTTGTGAAATTCTGTGAAGGGCTGATCCCATCTGGAGGGTCAGGGGAGGATTCTCAGAGTGTTTTCAGAGCTGCAGTAATCGCGTAGGGGAAGGGCAAAAGACTCCAGGTGGAGGAACCAGCATATGCAAAACGCCCTGCTTCCTTCCATTGTTTCTATCCAAGTAGAGCAAGATGACATTGCCACTGTTCTGTACTTGTTTTGGTGTCAGAGTGATCTAAGATCTCAGTAGGGTTTCCCAACCAACCTGGACATTTTTTCTCTCTCCCACTTCTAACTTCTCCTAACTTCTTTTTGTTAAAGGCATTGTCCCTATTTTTCTTCTTTTTTTTTTTTTTTTTTTTTCTTTTGAACTTTATTTTATTTTTTTTATACAGCAGATTCTTATTAGTTATCTGTTTTATACATATTAGTGTATGTATGTCAATCCCAATCTCCCAGCATTGTCCCTATTCTATCTAACATCTGGACCTAAACTTTAGCCTTTGGTACTTCCTTGTTTAATTCCCATTTTCACCCAGTCTTCTTATTTGTTAAAATCCTCACTAAGATCGTAGGTGTGTTTTTCCCTTAATGAAATATTCATCTGATCTTGTCTGTTTCTTGCTCAGATATCTTCAAAAGGTGCATATAAACTCCTGATGTAGCCCCTCTGGTAGTATCACCCCAGCCTTTCTTTCCAGCCTTGTGAGCTGTGTTCTTTGCATCCTGTGCTCTGGCCAAATGGGATAACGCTCTGTTCCATGAAGAGAAGAGCCCTCCTCCTTCTACCTGGGGCAGCTTTCCTTCTCACTAGCCTCTACCTCTTCCTGCGGAAATGTTTTCTGTCCTTCAAAGACCAC